CAGCCCCTCCACACCTCCAAAACACGCCCACGCGGAAGAAAAATAGTGATCAAGCCCACATACAAACACTAGCTGAAAAGCCTTTGTAAAAAAGGAACATTTTCATTAAAACAAAACCTTGCTATTGATGTTATCTTGTAAGAACACATGATGTAATAAAAACATCAACTTCCATAACTAGTAGACTCCAGAATATATTTTTAATAAAGGCCTATAAAATTACTGTTCACTACAAAAAGTATATTTTTTTTATACATTCAGTTACATTTTAGAGATTGAAATGTTTATAAATTTATGATTTCTAGGAATTTCAAGCTCATCCTTACCAAAAAGTGGCTTCTTTCACATAACCACAGATAAACCAGGAGACCTAATTTAGAATCAGATTCAACATATTTTCCCAGTTCCATGGCCAACCTAGTATTTTTTTAAAGAAAATAAAACTAAATTCTTATCAAAGAGAGTATTTTATACATGTTTATGTGTACGTAACATGTGCTATGCAGTACACTCTATATCTATCTATCTATCTATCTATCTATCTATCTATCTATCTATCTAATAGTAAATCCTTATTTCTTTATAAATTACTTCACTTTTTCCTGCTACTGGGTTAAACGAATTATTGCCATTTTTTTTTACATAAAAACCTGTAAAGGTAATTTAAAAGTTTTATGCCATCTTCAGCTTTACCTACAGAAAGAGTTTATATTGATATAAAACAACACTTTCAACCAAAAAAAATACATGAACATAGGGTAGACAAGAAACATACATTTCTTCACATGAAAACAGCATGCAGACATTGACCTTGTGGGGAGGTGACTCTATGCCTCTAACTAGCAGCACATGTCATTCTCAGAGTTCAGTGCGATTAGTGGGAGAAGATTCACACAGGCCTGCGGGGAGAAAGTTAGAGAACATTACTACCCACTTAAACACCAGCCCACTAAGTTTTTGCAAGTTCATTTTAAAACCATTTTCTCATGGAAAAGTTTCACATATACACAAAATGAGAAAGAAAAGTATACTCTACACCCATGTGCTTTGCCCAATGATCAGCAATGATCAACGTTCTGCTGTTCTTGCTTTCCTCTTCTTGGGCTGGAGAATTTTAAAATAAATCCAAGCCATTGGACCATTTCACCCAAAGGCATGGAAGCATATAGAAAAGATCTACTGTGAGCTGTTTGCTAATGGGTATATACAGTAAGTTCACTGGGTGTTTATTCCAAGGAGCAGAGAAATAACTAGATACTTGATACATACCACTTTTCCAACTGGAAGTAATGAGCTTTTTTCTGTTGAGAAAGGTTATGAGTTGTCTTTAGCTATATAATTTATTTGAAATATAAAATATACAATATACTAGTCTTTGAAAGTGATGATCTGTGTATTAGAGATGAACACTTTCATTAATATTGGAAAGACTTCCTTGAAAGGTAAAAATGTATCTTCTCCTTTACATATAGGTTAAGCGTTCATAATGCAGGAGAAGACGACACTGGAAGAGATGGATTGACACAGTAAATGGGGTATTGCAGGTAGGTGTGTTGGAGTCAGTGAGACTGGCTCAGGGCAGGGCAGGCTTCAGAGCTATTGTACATAAGGTCGCTATAAGTCACAGGAGATTCAATGGCACAAAACAACAAAGGTACCTGATGCCTTTAGTCCACTTATATGTAAAATTATATGACAAATTTCTATCAGTCATATTGGTTTTAAATAATATTTTATATTACAGCAGCATGATGTGTATACAGAAGATACTTCTAGACCTACATTTATATCCTTACATACTCTGTAACAAATATCTACATGAAAATAAAAAGTATCACATGCCATAGCATATAAAGTATTATATTCATTCATAACCTGTAATAATATGTCCTCTACGTTAAGGGGAATATAGCTGTACTTTTAAAGCTGCATTTTTAGTCCTGTCCTTAGACCATATTATTGTCTTCGCATATACTCATATTTGGGCAAAATTTTTAAGATTTGAGAAAACTATTTTGACTTCAAGACATCAAGAATAATAATCTGTAGAAGCCTAGGTTGTGTACTACAAAATATACCACCAGGAAAAATCTGATAAACTCACTTTTTTTTTTTCTTAGAAAAAAAATCACAAGTAAGTGAGGAAAAAACTCAACAATGCTCTGTCTAACACTCAGATGTATTTGATACCTTGTATTCTATCCAGTGAATAAAAGTGTAGTGACATGCAAACATTCATCTGCACTGGGATTCTTTTCATTGTTTTGTTTTCATTCGTCCAAAAGGTGGCACATAATGTTTATGAAAATCTCACTGATGTGAATCCAAATACTGTCATACAAAATTTTACTTCAGTAACATTTTCTCTTATTCTCCATTTATTTGTATGAGAGGTGAACACCAGAACCTTAACATTTTAAGGATTTTATCAATGTCCCCTTGATCTGTTCACATAGAATTATTAAAAATAAAATCAGATGATCTACACAAAGTAGGGAGAAAAGTCTCCAAATTTACAAACATATCAAATGGGTGTATAAAGTATACAAAGTGACTAAACTTCCAATCAAACCTTTAGCTACAAAATATCTATTTGTAAATAATTCTTTATCTTTAGGGGAAAAGTAGCATGTAAACATTTTCAGCAGCTCTCAATTTAATATCTTGCACATAGTCTGTAGTAAAACTATAAAGTCAACCCACTGCTGCAGAGTCACTTTTGGCTAGTAATTACCCTGGGCACATAGTACACACTCAGTAAATAGTTTTGGGTTAATATTCAGTTTCCTAACCGCCAACACATGTGTGCGCCTACACAAAATCATACCTTCATTCAGATCATGGAGCTCATGCCTTACCAAAAGCTGCTGCCTAAAATAACAAGATCAAGCATGGCTTCTACAAAGTGGGTCTGCATGTCCTGGTATTGTAGGGCACTTACTGTACTTGTGTTTTAGATTATATCTGAAAGCAACTAGAGATTGCTATGAAGCTCCTGTTTTACACAGTTGCCTGAAATTATCTCATTATGTTGTAATATATTGCTTCTGTATTGACGCAGCTATTAAAGAACATTTCTTTGGTGACTGTTTTGTTTTTAGCCTTCTCCAGCATAATGTTTATGTTTGAACTATCACCCACTGTGATGTTATTTCAATAGTAAGGTTATGTGTGTTTTGATTTTCTGGGCGGAGTGTCTGGTTTCTTCTTGGGTTTAACTCATTTATGGTTCTTTATTTACAAATGTTTTAGAACATCTATAAAAATATTTTATAGAGAAATACAATGGGGAGGGGGAAAATCATCGCACAATTTCACGAGGAGCGGCTATGAGGGAGTTTACTCGTCTAAGTGCTTTACTTTTTACCCTCCATGCCTCTGAGGCATGTGTTTTATGTTTACACTGGTAAATCCTTAATTAGCTGGGTTTTTAAAAAAAAAATTAAATGCTACTCAGAACGAATTATCTAATTGGGTTTTCATGTATTCCAACAGCTAAGATTACCGGGATGAAATAAAACTGCTAAACCTGGGAGCTGAATCTTATCCCAGAATCACATTGGAGATAGCTGTGATAAAACAGTGGGTGAAAGTTTCTCAAGTTTTGTAACATATGAATAAGTCTTCCTATAGCAAATAATTTACATATGTCATATATAATTATGACAAGTGCAAACTAGTGTAAGAACCAATAATAGGAAGGCTAGACTTCTAAACATTGTTCATAATAATTTTGCTTCTATTTTAATGCATACACAGATCTCGGAATTATTTTTAAAGCTTCAGAAATACCATCTTTGGGAAGTTGTAGACATGAACATATTTATGTGAATTTCACAAATTACTATGTTACATATCTAAAATCATTGAGGGGAGGGAAATATCAAACTCCTAAAAATTCCTCACCTGAACTTTCACTGCACTCTTCTGAAAAGCCTACTGCAAACTTGATTGTTAACCAGTAAACAGCCCAATTTACCTACTCAGTGTAAGACTGTATTAGCTCTCTTGTTAATAGAGATTCTTATCTCTGTCACGGAACAACTTTTGGTGATTTACATATATTTCTTTTCATATATCAAGTAACTATTAATTCAAGCATTTTGGTACTAAATTCTAAGTATGAAAGTATATCATAGTGCATGCAGGGAGACATACCATATTTTACTGTCAACAATTCTGAAGTGAAACATTTCTAGCCCCCATATGAAGTAAAAGTACTCTGCTTCCTTTAAATATTACTGTCTTCATACTAACTCATTTGTTTCCAAAATGTATCTGAAAAGAATGTACAATTTGTACCGCCCTCTTAAAAGTGTACAAAACAAGTATTAAATGATGGCTGACTAGATCCAACCAGATCAGAGAGACAGTGGTGGTGGTGGTGGTTCAACTTTGTGGATGATAAATAAAGTTTGGTCACATTTCCTAGCTTCTAGGGCCTGTGCTTCAGAATATGAGTCAAGTATTACTTTCTACCTTTCCAAGCACAAAGACTAATAACAGTAAATTAAGGAAGGAGAGATTGGGGGGAGGATACCTGAGGGGAAAAATAAAATACATACTCAAAGAACAAAATAGAACAATCATTAGGATGTTTTGTTAAGTTAAAAAAAAAATCCTGTTCCTTACTGTCAAAGTCACAAAGATTATTTTTCTTAGTTCAGGATGGAAAAAAGACAAGCTCCCAAAGTTCAAAACAAAACAAAAATTTACTTTGGATCCTTCTTAGTCTGAAAAAAAGGACTCTTTTTTTACATTTAGAATCCCATAACAGGGAGCAGAAAGAAGAGGAAACAGTGAAACTACTAGCTCCGTGGCTTGGTTGGTTTGTTTTCTAGCCTGGCTTTCTGGTTCGGAGAAGAGCCCTCCTCAGGGTGCTGGCTGCAGCAAGACAGGGAGGATCCATTTGGGGAGGAGAAAAAAAGGCAGCTGAACTGCCGAGAAAGAGCAGAGGGGGCGAGCGAGGGAGACAGCACATGTTACATCAGACACAGTACCTGATTTTTCACTGCACAGCTTGTCAGCTAGATGGTCTGCCTCCTGGGCGATAAGTGAGAATATTTCATCTTCATACTCTTCTATTATCGTCTCACACTACAGAAATATAATAACAACACAGGTGGATCTATACACGCACTTACCGTACCTTGTTAGAAAAGACTTAATCAGAATTATATTAGCCAAAATATATAGCATTGTGTTATCAAGGTGGTCCCTTTTTCTTAGCCCTTTCAGTTTACTATATCATTGTATGGGATTAGCCCTCTTCCCAGAATGTTAATTGCATCATTTTCCTGGGACTTAACTAAATGATTAGCCCTGTTGAAAGCCCCTTCTGAGGACCAGCAAGAGGGCTCTTTGCATTTCTTTCCCTTCAATTGGAATGCGGGAGTAACAGTGAGAAATGGGTCTACTACTTAAGGAGTGCCAAAGTCTTAATTAAAAACACAGCTCCTTGAAATGGTTAAACAGGTTTCCTTCAGATTTAACATAATAATCCATTCTGTGGTTTGAAAACAGTGTCTGGAGTACAAAAACAATTAGGCCTTCTTGGTAATCAAAACAAACGCACTTCCATTTCTCTGGGAGTACCGTACTTGACAGTTAACTTAGGAAGTTTCTCTTCATACCATTTAGAGATTAATTCAGAATATCACTTTTTTAAAAAAAGAAAGAAAGAAAAAAACAAAAAACCCTGACATTTCTGTGATGAGGGAGTTCAAATTGGCCCCAGTGTTGGAAAATTTTAAATGTTAAGAGCAGCACATTAAAGAACTCCAAGTAAACACTTTTCAAAATTACCACAGTGCTCAAGGACAATCCACTTCAGACTTGTAAACTATTTTGTAAGTTAAGCAGGACTCTAAAAATGTCAAATGACACTGAAAATTATTTCAATTCCACTCAAATGTGCTTATTGAAAAACTGAAATCCAAGCACACATTTACTCATGGCTATACCCATCCCACGGTGCTTTTAATTTGGAATCATTATCTTTGCTCTCTAATGAAAATGAAATCTTCACAAATCTAAGCTAAAGCTCCTTCTGATTCAACAGCGTTAAGGAGAATATACTGCAGTATGCTCTGCCAAGCATATTCAAGCAAGACAGAGATAAACATTTATGAAAATAAATAGTAGACGGGATGGAAATTTGGCCTTAAGCCAACTATCATACTTCGGCCTTTGTTTAACTTAGTTTGTGTTCAAAGATGTGAATTAACTCGTGACAAAACAAAACAACAACACACATACACACAAAACCCCACAAAAATCTCCCCTCTGGTCTGTGAAGCCTTTGGAGGATAGATGGTTGTACCTCGCTCCTCCTCTCCAACTTGCTTATAAATATTTGAAAATGACATTAGTTTTAATCTGAGTTCTGATCTAACAACTAACTACAGCCCCTGATTCTATAAGCGGAAATTTGTGAAAGACCCGCCTGGGCGGCAGAAGTACTGCCTGAAACTATCCAAAGAGTGCTCATACCAAGAAAATGGTTCAGCAAAAGCAAGGTGCAAACTATGTCTGAAACCCTCTGAATTTTGTGAGCAGCACGATCAGTAAACCATCATCTAAACGTCCCCATTGTGCTATTTCAGCCCCTTAGGGAGGAGCTCCAAAGGCAAGTTGCATGGTTTACATTTACAAAGCAACAAGACACAAAGTAAATGCGTAGAGATTTTAATGTTACAGCCACAACCAAAACCAAATGACAAAAAAGTAGCCAGAAGACTTTGGTGGATCTTGTTAATTCATCTGCCAAGAAGAGAGCTGCTTACCGCGAATTTCAAAGGTCTGTAAGCATCAGAATAGAAAAAGAATTTTTTAAATTCTTTGTATATTTTGTCTCCTTTCCTTGGAGCGAATCTCTTGAAAGTTCTCTCTTTAGTTACAGGGTCTTCTTCAAGTTTGTAGTCATTCATTCGCTCACATACTTTATCCAAAAGGTCTGTTAAGAATGCTTCAGACTGAGCTAGGGGAATCTATTTTCAAAAAGAGAAAGAGAGGAGACTTATCTTAATTTTAATATTAAAGCCACTCAGATGAACACAGATGAAAACATTCTTGATCCCTCAGTAATACAAAGAGTAATTTCCTAATGCAGTTACGTATACGGTTGTATTATTTACATCACGTAAGAGGTTAGCGCGAATGGTAAGAAAAGAAAGTGCTCGTATTATTTGCAAACTGACCCAAAAAAAGCTTTACATGCCAAGTAGAAATTATGCCTAAACATAAGAACCGTCTTGAAAAGTCTGCAGAATAAGCCAGCAAGCACGCAGAATAGCTGTTCTCGGCCGCGCGCACGCCGCCCAGCTCTGCGTAAGCGGAGCAGCAGGCGTGGGAACCCCGCGAGGGCCGCGAGTTCTAGCTCAGCTGCGCCCTCCGAGCCGCCCGGCTGCGGCTGCGTGGAGCCCGCGGGAAACGTGGGAGTTGGGGAAAGGAGGGGGGAAAGTGGCTTACGAAAGTTCCTTCCTGCCAGCTCCCCTTGCAGCTTTATTTTGGAACAGCTGGCCCACGCTTTTGTCCGTCCCCTCTCGCTCCCGAAGTCAGCGAGATCCTGCAGGACCATTTAAGACGCCACCTCCGCCCCGGGCGAGGGTCTCAGCGCCCGAGCGCCAAGGGTCAAAGAGCATCTCTCGCCCTTGGTAACGGAGACAAAAACTCGCTCTGCAGTCTAGACAGGTCAAGGTGCAGGATGCAGGGTCCCCGCGCGCCTTCCGGAAGGGGGCGTGAACCCCAGCCAAGTGCACCGCGCACCGCAGCGCCGCAGCCTTGGGCCTTTAGAAGATTTTTTCCCCCCTCTCCACCCTCTGCTGATCAAAGTAGGAAGTTTTCATGACAACCATAGTGAAAGGGGCTGAATCACAAATGAACTCGATTTCTGCAATGTTGATATATCCAGTCTCCATTGTCCCTTTTCAGGCGCAGTATGAACCCTTCCGGTCCCAACGATGACATTACAGAAGCGCGTTCGCATGTGGGCCTCATTTACACAAAGGGTGTCCTTGCTTCGCAGCCATCTGGCCACAAATCAGATAAATAAGGGCTGGAGAATTAAAATTAAAGCTCAGTTGTGTTGTGCGCCCATGTTTCCCCTCCCCCCTTCAAATGCAGGGTCCATCTAAACCACCCCAACCCCAGTTTCAATAAGCAGCAACTTAAAAAAAAAAAAAAGAATTTAAGAAACATGGCAAAAGACTAAAGGAAAAGCATCACTCATGTGCGCATGTACTAATAATATTCAGTCCCTTCCCCGCCCTCCCCGAATCTCGATTTGACTTTGATTTTGAAAAGCTTCCTAGGCCCACCGTTCATTGCGCAGATCACTAGTTTATAAAACTAGAAAGTATTTGTTAATTCGCGGAAATACCCACGTTTTAAAATCTCTGACTTCACTTTCAAAAAAACTGTCGACAGTAAAAAGTGATTTAAAGCACGTATTCCAACCCTAAATTTCATCTTATGCCTTAATTATTCTTTGAAACACTGTTCACGGTTTTTTTTAATTAAGCAACGTGTAGAATAAAAAACTATTGAAAATTTGTTTTATTCATTTTAAAAAGCAAATAATGGTCTATGTATTAATCACGGGGGGAAAGTTACAAAATGTGGGTGTAAATTCTTACTCAAGACAGATGAACAGAAAGACTATTTGTGTTCATGATGAATTTAAGTCTTGTTTCTTTTTCTGATACGTATGAAATAGATCCTTAGTACTTCCGGGCTGCCAGCAAGAAACCGTTCTACTTTCAATTGGAGAGTAGACTCTTTCACTTAAAATATCTAACTGTAATTAAGAAATTCATCTTTTCTCTGCCTTTCCTTCTTCCATCTTTCTCCAACGAGAAAAGTAAACATATTTGCATATTGGGGGGTGGGGATGACACCACAGAGGAAAGTCCTGAACGAATGTTCTTAGACCGAGATCCTCCTATAAGATTACTGAACTGCTTACTGAAATAGATGCCACTTTTCAAAACCAGGCTTTTATATTGGTCTGTGTGCGTGTAAATTTTGAATGGTGGTTCACAAGTTACTTCTGAGAGTGACTGTGATTATTTACAGAGTTGTACTTAAAAAAAAAAAAAGTCCTATATCCTTTCCACCTTACAGTGGATTGGGGTGTCAAAAAAATGGATTTTTTAATTGTTCTTATTGTCAATTTTTTGTTATATGTCCAGATATTTGGCTTATTTCAACAGAAGGGATCAAGCAACATGTGAGTTTTGATTATTTTGTTACTCTATGAAGGCTATTTGGCCTTTTGGTATAATTAATTGGCCCTTTTTTTGGTAAACATTCTTTGGAAGCATAAAAAAAAACACTGAACACTGGCAGTGTTCACTTTATATTGCATAAAGTAGTATTTTCATCTTAAAAATCCAGACATTGAATTTGGTGGGGTGAGGAATTTTTAAAAAATTATGCACCTGCACCAAAGTTCTCGAATTTATTTCTTAAAATTTACAAGATTGGAGTTTATGATTATTTCACTTCGCAAAATGATCATAGTAAATGTACATTCTGTTCATAGGATAATTGAGCCTTTCTCTTAGCCTCAGAATGTTTTGATAGTGAGAGTGCAACATGTATTGGAACAAATGAAATAAAACTAAGTGTCTATCCTGTGAAAATTTTGAATAGTACTTGTCAATAAAGCAATTCCTATTGTAATCTTCTGGGAAAGGAGCCTCCATCCTGGAAGGAAGATACTAGCCTCATTCAAATATGAATGAAAGGGGGTGCCCTCATTGTATCAGGAGAAACCCCATTCACTTTCTTATCAGCTGTTGTTTTCATATATATACCCATTTGTGACAAGTTAAAACTATAAACATGATCTACTTGGATTTCCTTGTCTTGTTAGAATGCTCCAATCAGAAGAAATCCTAACTTTTCCCAAGTCTGAAATTTACCTGCAAGAATTTCATTTCATGTGGATCCATGATCAACATCCATGGAAGCATCGAGAATCATATGATCAATGCATTGGGCAGATCTGTGGCAAAAGATCTCACTCAAAAGCATAGATGTCACTTTGAGGACTCAAGTGTGCCTGACCCAAGCCAAGGTGCTTTCCAACCACCTCCTGGCATTTAGAAACAGGACAGTGAATAAGGAAGACCAAAGAGGAATTGATGTGTTTGACTTTTGGCACTGATGAAGAATACTGAACATACATTGGACTGCTAGAAAAACGAATAGATCTGTCTTACAAGAAGTATAGCAAGAATGCTTCTTTGGAGTGAGGAATGATGGAACTTCCTCTCACGTACTTTGGACTTATTTTCAGGAGGGACCAGTTCCTAGAGAAAGATATCATGCTTGGTAAAGCAGATGGTCAATGAAAGGCAGTGAGACCCTCCATGAGATGGATTGACAACAGCGGCTGCAATAACAGGTGGAAACATAGTGAGGTGGAAACATTGTGAGGATGTGCTGTATCAATGTTTCGTTTTGTTGTAGATAAGGACCCTGTGAGAAAGACACCTTCCACTCTAATTCACTCTCAATATGCACAGTGTCTACCCTCACCCCATGGACTCTGTTCTAACCAGAGGGAAGGGTGGGGAGGGAAGATCTCTATACCCTAATTTTAAAGGTAGTTGAAGGTTTGCCTTTGATTTCTATAGAAAATTGGAGCTAGGGAATTTATTGTAGCCCACCATAACAACACTGTAATAAAAGTCAATTACAGGATGTTCCCCATGTTTGTTCATTACTGTGTCTCTGTTAATCTTGTCACAAATTTCTTACTTGATAGCTATCACAATCAGGCAGGAACAGAATTACGTTGCAGTGTATAAGTGGATGTGGAAACTGCCATTGCAGTAGATCTGTCTCCCTCATAACAGAGCTGGCAATCTCAAATAATTTTAACTCATTTAAAAAGTTGTTTTAGAGCATCTTTCTAATATGAGACCAATGCATAAACTGTTTTGTGGCTTAAAATTAATTTGACATTGTTACAAAGGTTTTCTTTCTAGAGGTTTAGCTCGAGGTTTAGAATTTTTAATTGGATCACACCAAATACTTCATCTAGTTTAGTCATTACCTTTCCATCCATAAAAATATTGAAATCACTACTGATATTAGTTAAAAGTCAATATTTAGAAGTGAAAATTCAAACCTCCTTTGCTCTAGGCTACAAAGGGAAACATGAATTCAGAAACTCTTATAAGTTGATGAGATATATAATTAGCTTTTATGCTAATTGGCTGCTATGAGTTTGTTGTATGACACTTCTTCATATAATATGCAAATAGCATTGACTGCTTAGTTTTATTAGACAATATAATTAGAAATCTAAAGGAACTCATTTTGATGAAGAATGCACAAGGTTGATAAAGTTTCGATGCTCTATATTCCAGAGGAAAAAAAAAAGAATTCTATCCGAACTTAATAAGACTTCAGAAAACTTTCATTTAGAGAAGAAAAGCCAGATCAAATATAACAGTTAATATTACTGCATCCAGTTACCATAAATTCTATGTTAAAATAGGTAAATTCATGCTATCAATAAAAACTTAGAAACAAAAATGTAAATATTTCAGTGTAATTCCATATAAATAGCACAATACATTTACAAAAGTAAAAACTAAATTTTGTTTCCTATAATCTAAACAATGGAAACAAGTCATTTTTACTATTTGAGATCAGATCTTCAGGTAGGGCCTATTATACCAGTCACATAAGGTATGGGCTCTGGTTCTAAAGAAAACAAAATCATAACAAAGGTAATAGATAAAATAGTAACACAAGAACAATGTATTTTAGGGGAAATTTTCCCAGGATTTATTTCACAATATTAAAATATCAATAACATTTTTCACTCCAGAGCCTAATTTCAAATTAACAATGACAAAAAAAATGCATAATGAGTCACTATTACTGATCCTACAATGGAATCACCAAACTC